CGACTTGTAACCCTGCTCCCCGAACTATATAAGGCGGGCAGAGACCCTCCAAACTCATGCAATATCATACGATAGCTAATACAAACCAACAGACCACAGGAGTAGGGTATTACGTCATACTGACGGCCTAAACCTATATAACTCGTGTGTCTCTGTTATATTCTTGTTCTTGATCACACGCTTCTCTATCGATCAATCTACCTTCGTGGAATACCCCTTAGAGAACTGCCGTGGATATTCTATCGACAGGAGCTGAGCGACTGTGTATGAACCTTTTCGGGCAGGCGGGCAGCAAACACCAAACAAGCAGCAGCACCAGCGAGAAGCCAGCAGCGGCAACGGCTTATGACGCATCATCGGTCATGGAGCCGCCGTGTAGGAGCATACAACTATTCCACCATAAAAGTAAGTGGTATTTTGTTTCTATGTCTCTCCATTTCAAATTATAAGTCATTTTGTTTTTTCTAAATATATACGTCATGTTCTGCAGTACTACTTCAACAATACTTTTTAGTAAATGAATAATATTTTTCTCTCACAACAAATCAGCATAAGCTAAATTTCAGCGAAACGGTCATTTTAGTTTTTCTAAACATATAGGCTTCGTTCGACAGCATGATTTTTCCTCTGTAAGATTACCTCTGCTCGTATTCTGTTGTGTAGAACTAGACGCATGATGAACAGTTGTAATTTCATGTTCTGCCGAATCTCTTTGTACTCAGATGCTAATGGTACACAACTAAGTAATCTTCTATCTTTATTAACACCCCCACATATATACACACGCTCTGGCCTCTGGGTACACAAACTCCAAACGGACATCATACATGAGGTAAAGCTCAATGACGCATCTAAATTTCGAAGCGACCGACTAAAATCTTGTATCTCATCTTTTTCTAGAAGTGTTAAATTCTTGATAGTATCAATGAGACCATAGTCTTTTGGTGAAATGAGTCGACCCGTGGCTTTTATAATTGGCCTTGGAGCCATAGGGCCGGGTTGACCCATTCCCATCCCAAGACCTTGGTTTCTTTACATTTGCAGTGATTTATGAGGGATTTAGAAAACCATGAATAAGATGATAGTACAGATTAGAGAAAAACTTTCCAAACAATCCGTCTGACATTTTCCAAGAGTGTTTATCATTTCTACAGAAACAGTGTTTCCAGCTGAAGCGCGTTGATTGTGCTCGTTTTTTTTTTTGAGTGGACTTGATTGTGCTCGGTTGGTTGATGGGACGCTGACTCACTGAGCGCAAAGAAATGCAGCAAACACCCAATTCTTCTACAACTAAAAATAACAAAGCGTGGACATTTTTTGGTGCGACATTTCAACATGGGTCCATCGTCCTGCCTGCTGCGTTCCCGCAGCCTCGCTCCGACGCGTGGCTGTCCCTTGCGACAGAAACATCTTTACGTCGTTCTACCTGGCGTGCGACGCTCGCTCCCTCCCTTCCGCTCCGCCAATCACGTGTTGCGACCATCTCCCTGCGCTCCCCCAATCACGCGCTGCGACCATCCATCAATCATGCCGCCGCACACGCCATCCCCATCCCTGCGCCCGCATCCGCTCCCTGAGCTCCCCGACCCTACGACCATCCCTGAGCTCCCCGTCCCCACTCCCTGCGGCCGCGTATGCAGCTGCTCCCATCCCCGCTGTCGCTCGCTCGCCCGTGTACGTCACCGCTCGCCATCCCCGCTCCCTGCGGCCGCACACGCCGCCGCTCCCCCCCTGCACCCCGTGTCACCGCCGCAACACCATCCCCATCGCTCCTCTCCCAGGTCCAAATCCCATGGCCTTCCTTGCCGCGGATCCCGGTGGAACTTAGCGGCTGTAGTGGAGGACGCACGTGGTGCGTGCTTCGTGGCCTCCATCTCGCTACGCTTATCGAGGTCGGTGGTGAAGCGGAAGCGGCGCTTAGGGTTCTTGACGACGCTACAAAAGCAGCGCCAGCGACGGAGCCTCCTTTGCATGAGTTCATGGCCTGCAAGCCCCCGAACCACATCTCCAGGTAGCTCTCCATCCTCCTCTCTGTTCTGCAGGTTCTTCAGGATTTATCTGCGTTGCTATTGATTTTTCTGGATTATTGCATTGATCGATTGCATTCTTTCCAAGGGTATGCAGATGTGTCTTCTTTAAACGTTTGTTGTTTAGGCATGAATTCAGAAACACACATGTTTAAATAAGTATGTCAGAAATTCAAGGATATGATATTCCTCCATACATAGTTGTGGCAATTTCATCCTTTTCGCCGATGTTACTTCATAGTGCAGATTGCATATGTAGGTCTTCTGATCCTCTTAAGTTCTCGTGCCATTATCTGAGAATTCTTGTGTGATTATCTGAGAATTTTATATCAATTAATGAATGCCACACATCTTTTATGAACAAAGCTTCGGTTAAAGTTTCACATTTAATGACACAATGTATCATTTTCAGTCCTATGAAGGCTATAGCTGATTTTTATTCGTGATTGATCTCATGTGTGATAGATCTAATGCATTAGTTGTATAAAAAATACTTTGATAAATATGCTCTACAAGAGGCATTGTGTACAGTCAAAACTGATAATAAAAATACATATATGCAGTTTGCTCTTAGAGAGGAAGGTGGAGTTATCCTTTTGAAACTGTATACATTAAAAAAATCATGAGCATTAGCTGTCAGTGCTTAGGTTTCTTTGCCCTATGCAATTGTTAGGAATATATACAACTTTAGATTGCCTATAAAACACATTCTTTTTGGCATGTAACTTTAAGTGATTTTGCTTGGCATAGATAGATGTTCGGGTTTTAGTAATATCAGTTTCATTGTATTATCTTAACCTTTTGACTCACGTCAATTGTATACATGACCCTTGTAGCTCATGTTAGCTTTTCTAATTTCAACAATCAACTAGAGAGTGTAGAGCTGTTTAGAGTTCCATAATTAAAAAAAACTGAAACTTGGTACTGAACTTGTCAGTTTGCTTCCTAGCATGATGCGCTTTAGACAGTGCGGGGCTCATCCGTGTAAACGACATAAGGCGTCATTCCTACCTGTTATACCTGTTATGTGGAAGATTGAATGACTGAAGCAAGTTGGTATTGTAAATTTGTGGAAAGAGTGAGAATTGCCATGTCTTTAGTTCACTACCATAAAATGTCTAATAAAAGTATATTTTCAGTGAGCATTTTTAGTGAACAGATTTGGACCTGCACTTTTGTATTGACATTGCTTCTCTGAGTTTTTGTGAATGGCTAGATTCTACCATGAGCAACTTTTGTGCCTTATAGTTTCATTCTACCATGAGCAACTTTGTGTGTTTAAATTTTGAAAGTTCTACATATATCTTGGAAGATCTCTTCAGCAAACTATCATGCTTAGTAGGCTCTAGGGTCCTCATGTTGTGTGCTCACTAAATGTTTGGGTGAGATTTGTATATAATTCGAAGGAAAAGTCTCTCGTGCTACTGACACATAATTTTGACAATCTATTCCTCACCATTAAGAAATCAGCCACACTTTATTTCTCCCTGTATTCTAGTGATTATTTTCCTTTGCAGTTAACTGATATGGAATTTATATTTGGTGCAGGTTGGGACGATATCACTTTAAGATTTTCTGACTTTGCTATGCAGTGCAACAAGCTTCGAAAGGTCATTGTTTGGATTTCTCTGGTGCACTAAGTTTGTATACAATGTAGGTACTTCTCTCTTCATAAATTCCTAAAATTTCGATCATCTTTGAATTGCTAAGTCTCTCTATAACCCATTTGTTTCCCAGGTAACTCAATGGTTTCAGTCTCTCTATTAACATTACAGGTTGACTTGTGGGTTTTCACTTACACTTCGGTTCTCTGTTCTCCACGGCCAGTGAGCTAGAAAAAAAATCGAAGGTGCATTTGACCAGGAAGGAGGTGCCTAATGAAGCTTACAGATTTGTTTCTATTCTGAATATTAGCAATTTGCATGGATAAAAATAAAAATGGGATTTTAGTAATATGCATATGATTGCATGTGTGCAAATCGGTCCTCGGCTCTCATTATTGAGTTAATAATCTCCATTGCCATTGTTGTAGTTTTTTTTACCACAAGGATGTTACCCTTTTTAAAATATTAATCATATAGCTGTGTAGTATTTTAGTTTTTTTACCACAGTGAAGTTACCAGTAGGAGTGCGTCTCCGAGTTCATCTCCTTCGTCGCCAGAACAAGTGAGTTCACACCGCCCAGAGCTACATGGATTGGTGATGGAGGCCAACCATCATCAAAACAAAGGATACCCATGTGTGGAAGACTAAAGGATTGATTATTAGAGTATCATGTATGTTAGTTGATTTTATACTTCATGGAGAATTTATCTCGAGTTGTAAGCTGAACACCGAAAGTTCAATCAACTGATGACCTTAGGAGTTGCAAAGAGTTTCCTGTATAACAGTTGCATCGGTTCTGCATTTTCAAAGTTTTTTGAACTTCCTGGTGACCAGCAAAGAGTTTCTTGAATAATAGTTGCATTGGTTCTGCATTTTCAAAGTCTATCTACATTTTTAGGTCTACACAGTAGAGTTTATGAACATGCGACGCCGTGCTTTCTGTGACTGTTAATTTCACAAAATTTGCGTTTTGGATTAAATGTCACCTTAACGTCGGTTATTTTCATAATATTGTTATCTTATCGTGCAATCCGTATGTTTTTAGTATAAAAGTTTAGCTGCCCCGTAGCAACGCACGGGCACGAACCTAGTCGAAAACAAAGAAGGAAACTTGTTTGGGCCAAATGTCCAATTCGAAAACTCTGTGCTGTATTAGGCCCGGTATGAGAAATAACGGCCCACGGATCGAAATGTGCGTCTAGCCATCGCCACCGTCCAAATCCAAATCGGACGGCCTGTGACGCCCCAGTATCCAGAACCCCATCGCCTTATCCACTAGTACCTCCGCACAGCGAACACATCACCACCCACCGTGTTCGTGTTCGCTCCACACGCGCCACCACCAGAGACCTCCCGCCGGTTACACCAATGGAGGCCGTCCTACGGCATCCATCGCTCTCGCGCCTCAAGCCTCCGAACCCGAGCCCTCCCAGAACGCCATCGCCATCCCTTGCTCCCCCATCTCTCCTCCGCCTTCGCACGCGCCGTCTCATCGCCGCCGCGGTGTTCCAGGACCAGAAGCCGAAGGAGTCAGCAAGCAAGGGAGGCGATGACGAGGAGGCGTACGGCGAGGTGGACCGCATCGTCTCCAGCCGCACCGTCAGCAGTCCGGTGTTCGCGGAGGACGGCTCGGCCACCGCCGCCTTCGCCACGGAGTACCTGGTGGAGTGGAAGGACGGGCACGAGCCATCGTGGGTGCCCGCGGAGGCCATAGCCGCGGACGTGGTGGCGGAGTACGAGACGCCGTGGTGGACGGCGGCTAAGAAGGCGGACGCGGAGGCGCTGGCGGCGCTGCTCGCGGACGAGACGCTGCGGCGGGACCCCGACGCGGAGGACGCGCAGGGGCGCACCGCAGCGCACTTCACCGCGGGGCTGGGGTCCGAGGAGTGCCTACGCGCGCTCGCGACGGCCGGGGCGGACCTGGGCCACCGGGAGCGCGCGGGGGGCGGGCTCACGCCGCTGCACATCGCGGTCGGGTACGGCCGCGCGGGCGCCGTGCGCGCGCTGCTGGAGCTGGGCGCCGACCCGGAGGCCACTGACGGGCAGGGCCGCACGCCGCTGGAGCTGGTCCAGGAGGTGCTCGCCAGGACGCCCAAGGGCAACCCGGCGGCGTTCCAGCTGCGGCAGGGGCTGGAGGCGGCGCAGAAGGAGCTGGAGAAGGCCGTGTACGAGTGGGCCGAGGTGGAGAAGGTGATCGACGGCCGCGGCGAAGGCAAGTGGCGGGAGTACCTGGTGGAGTGGCGCGACGGCGGCGACAGGGAGTGGGTGAAGGCGGCGTGGGTGTCGGAGGACCTGGTGAGCGACTTCGAGGCCGGGCTGGAGTACGCCGTGGCTGAGGCCGTGGTCGACAAGAGGCAGGCGTCGACGGCGACGGCGGAAGGGGAGGAGAGATGGGAGTACCTTGTCAAGTGGGTGGACATTGAGGAGGCCACGTGGGAGCCCGCCGAGAACGTGGACGCCGAGCTCGTGCAGGAGTTCGAGCAGCGGCGGTCGGGGTCTGCAGGTGGTGATGGCGGCAGCACTGCGCCACCGCCGTCGGAGGCGATTGCTTGACGAAGGTGGTTGCGTTTTTTGTTTTATTCCTCCGGGTATTCTTGAGATGTTGGATTCAATCAATGTCCGGGTGGTATTTTAGGATGGAAACCTTTTTTGTGAGTATCATATTTCGACCGGAATTTGCAGTTTCAGCCATCCCACTTGGAAATTCTCTGGGGTCTGTTTGGCAAGACCACTGGGCTCGCAGCATTCTTGCCCCCAAGTTGGAGCCGATGAAGCTAATATGTCTTAATCAGCTCTCTTTGTTCCTTAATTGTTTTTTTTTTTTGTAAAAAGAGAGAAAAATAACCTCGTGCAACAGTGTCAGTACAATACCTTTAGCGGTAGAAGCCCTTAGTTTTCTTGACATGTCTTTCACAAAGCCAGCATGTATCATTCTTGCTATGGTACAAATGAACATCATCGCAGATCTTGCAGGATCAGTGAACGACCCTAACACATAATACTCGAACTGCAGAGCATCAGCTGCGCAAAACGAAGGAAGACGTCTTCGAACGTGTACAATGGGGTGCTTAGTGAAAAAAATAATGGTTTTTCTTCACCATAACATTAGCACATGACCCTTAGAAGTTAGAAGGTGGATAGGATACTTAAGTTAGCACCAATGCTTAATTTGTTAAATGGTGGTGGACCGGAGGTTGAGCCTATCTAGGCACTTGTTTGCTTTGTAGGAATTAACTTCTATACTGATGCTTAGCGATATGATATGATAATATTTTCTCTCCTTAAGCATTTGTGTCTAAACACTTTACTTTGTACAATACATGCAATAGCACACGTACACTAGGATGTTTAGAGATGCTTAGTAAGAAAAAAAAACGTTTTCACCATAGCACCTGATATCATGCTTTGATGATGGATAACATGTTTAAGTTAGCACCGATGTTTAATGCATGTTGTGTTAATAAGGTGGTTGAACCCATCTAACCACATGTTACGTTATATGATGGGATCGGACGGCAACGACGGTGTGCAGTCCGTAGCTCGACTGCGCGTCTGCAGTTAAGCATTCTCGTACGTGCACTTCAAAGTTTCCCTATCCCACAGCTCTGTTACTGTAGCTGATCGTTCATGAACCACACACACGCCTCACGATACTCAAATTGTTCGTTCATTTGGTCGGTCCACCACCAATGCACACGCTCTCAAAACCAAAGACTCAACTAAACGAAGACCAAAACTTTTTCCTACCTCCAACTTGTTTCCTACCTCCAATTTGCCAGCTATAGCTTATGTTTTCAACCTGACCTGCCCACATTACCCCTCTGGCCCTCTCCACATTGCTAGTAGAGTTTACGGTGCGTGTTCTGATCATTGTACTGGAGTTTAAATTAGATTCGCTAATCTTCAGTAGGAACGTGTTTCCTGGCGGGATGTTTGCTTACGAAAATTCTACTTGTTCCAAACATAAAATTGCATTCATTATGAGATATTTTATAGCAAACTATTTGGAGACGTAAATGTTTGTATTATTTTCTATAAATTTGATCAAACTTAAAATAAATTTACTTGTTCCAAACATAAAATTGCATTCTTTTTAGGACCTAGGGAGTAGCTGCAATTTTTTGGGGGACGTTGGGAGCAGCGCTGTAACAGATTTAAACCCTTTGGGTCCTGTTGCAATGCGATTGGATGGGACCAGGATCATATCTGCTGGAACTCTGAAGACAACATGTTAGGAACTGGAGTAATTAACATAATTCATTTAAAATACCGAGTATTTCGACGTTAAGAGGCTGTCACATGTACTCCAAGTGACGTTGTGAGCTAAAACTTCATATAAGCGGGTATAATGATCCACCAAGGCCCAAGCTTTTGTATATCATTAAATAGCAATACATTGTATATGGTCAAATGAACAAGTGCGTTTTCGTACTATTACACATTTACAGTACAAACTAGATCTACAAATGGTTGTACAACACGCTGCCTTGGGGTTTGTTCTCTCTTCTCTTTGAGCAAGTAGAGTTGCTACAGATTACAGTGGTTAGTTGTAAGTAGAGTAAGCAATCTTCGGATGCAACTGTGCTAGTGAACATTTTGGGATATTGGTATCTAAAGACTGCATCCAGATCATTGGTTCAGGAACCTCCCAACTTCAGTTCAGAATGCTAAATATCAATTTGGCGATATTTCCGTGGTTTGTTCTGTGCCTCAGCAACGAAGCCTGATGCTTCTGCCAGAACTTCAAGCTCCTGGTCACCGCTCAGAACCTGAATAGGTACATAATCAACTTGTAAACAAACCGGAAGAATCAAATGTGAAGGCAGAGTGAATGCCGGTAGGTGTGTTTCAACTGTAAGGCAACCCTGGCAGTGACCGAAGTTTAGCATCATTCAATTTGTCCTATACAAAAACTGAAGTAGAGGCATTGTGGGCAAGAAAATATGTTTCAACATAACAGTATCTATGGAAGGAACACATCATGTCTTCGCGAGAACATCAAAACTTCAGGGAACTACCTTTCCATTGATGAACCATGTTGGAAAACCTTCAAGATCAGCAGCTGCACATTCTGCAGTCATTTTCTTTCCCTTACCAGCTCCATTTGGGAAACATTCCACATAGTCCAGAATTTTTGTAGCTTCACGACCAAACATCTGCATGAACAGTTGTTAGATTGAAAAGTGGTTCTTAGCTGACTTTTTGGTGACATTTATACTTCCATTTTGTACTTTTGGTCGGTGCAGCATCAGCAAATAAGTTCATACCGTATTATCATTATATTACAAGCACTATAATAGAGTTTTTCAAGCAAGTTTGGTATATCAATCCCTCGCAACAGAATAATGTTCTACAGCAGTGAAATCATTTGGTATTCGGTTAGGATAAGGTGAAAGAGCGCGTACCTGTTTTTGTTCATTGCAATGAGAACACCAGAATGCTCCGTACATCTTAGCACCTATAGAGTGCAAATGTCTAGCCAGTGCAATAGCAAATGGGGATGATTCAGTTGTTATCTCTGTTTCATATGGTTCTAACAAAAAGTCATCTGTGCTGCATAAAATGAACAGGAGAATCTTAAAGTCATTTCCAATGGTATCAAAGAAAAGGAAACATATAGTAAGTTCACATAGTGTGTTAAGAAGAACAACAACAAAATAGAGCAAAGGAACAAAGCAATCTAAGGAGCAGAATATTTGAGACATCAAAAAGGAAGCCTCACCCTTTCAATTGAGTAGTAGTAGAACTGTATGAGTTTGTCAAAGCAAGAGCTATAATGACAGCTACAGCTAACTGAATACCAGCAAACTTCTGGATACGTTCAAAACCGAAGTCCTGGAAGTTCAATAGTGATCATGGTTACTTAACTGGACTACATGGTCACAGGTTCAAATGAAGAACACACAGTTTTATCAGTGACCACATACCTTAACTCTGATGAAGAGTAGAGTGAACGAGAGAAATGCTGACAGCAAACAGTACGAACAAGATACCCCAACAAATTTAGTGCTTAGAATGTAAAGAAAATAAGCACTCGCAGTCGCCATAGAAGTAGCAGTCAGAAGCAATATTAATCTAATATCCAGGTCATCCGATCCCGGGAGCAAGTCCTTTCCATTTTCTTGCAGAGAAAGTGCAGTAACTAAACCATAAGTCACCAGACCAAATAAGGGAAGAGGTATTCCTGTAAAATTGAAGAGAGACCAATCATTAAGTACTTAGAGATGAAAAGGCATAGCATTGTGCGTTTGTGATTACGTGTTTTATCAAATTAGACTGCTGTAGTTTAGTAAAATCAATCATATAGTTGATTTGCAAAAGGATTACCCTAATCAACCGCTACTTCGAACTACTCCTAGTTCACCCCCAAAAAAATGGAACTAAAATGCGGGAATACCATAATCAACCACTCCATGGAACTGGTTCACAAAAAAAAACATTTTTTTGAACTAAAATGCAGCTAACTTTGTATACACAGTCCTATATACCGAGGAGCAAAGCACAACGAGATTGTTCATACAAAATCGGTCTAAATCTCATGAGCCTAATGCCACAGTTTAGTGCACATTTACCAATAATCTGTCAGCAACAACACCAAGATATTACCAAAGACGACGGAGTAGTCGCTGTCGAGGACGTCGCCGCAGCCTGCGCCAGTGATGGGGCAGAACGCCTCGGAGCCCGTGAGCTTGAGGTAAGTGAGGTAGCCAGTCTCCAGGAACCCCAGCCCAGCGACACCTGCAGACCAGGTGCTCGTGGAAATGCCCAGCAGAGACGAAGGGGGCGATCTTGCGGGTTTCTCCGGCGGCGGGGCGGGAGGGGCGGAGGAGGTCTCCTGCTCCTGGGAAGAAGACTCCGCGCAGCACCTGAAGCGCGCGGCTCTCTGCGCGAAGATGGACAACACGAAAATGGCCACGGAATTGTCGAACCAAACAGGAAGAGGGAAGGGGGGTGAAGCTAGGAGGGCGGAGGGGAGGGGTCATGGGCCTGTACCTTGATGCGCGAGGAAGCAGAGGACGTAGTGGCGACGGCGAAGCGAGTTGGGGATGGGAAGAAGGAGATGGCGAGGGCTGTAGAGATGGTCGCCATGGGCAGAAGTGAGTGGTGACCGGTGAGAGGCGAGGCGAGTTGACTCCACGCCTACACCTCTGAGAGCTCTCTCTAGACTCTAGTCCACATGGATTAGCAATGGATGGGCCTGCCTACCTTCTAGTGGGCCTATCGTTTGATCCATAGACAGCCTGGCCCATAAATACAGTACAGAATTCTAAGGCAGTATATGGTTCTAAATTTCAATCCCTATATTTACAGAGTTATTCTATCTACACTCTCATAGTTTATCATATGTGAAAAAACTATCAAAAAATGAATTTATAAAGTGATATAGCATCTCTATTAATGGAGAGCGATGATGGTGGTTTTAGAGAGAGCGGACAGATGGTGGCCTGATTTTTTTTTTTTTGTTTTCTAAATTTCATGATAAAAGTCATGCAGAGTGCCTCTTATCTTTCCCATAGGTCTACTGTTGCTAATGACATCATAGCTTCAATAAACTCCACTAATTGGCTTAGCTGCGAAATATTTTAGCATTGTTAATCCTGTCGAAGTAAGTATTCATTCCTTACTTAAAATAACTGTAATATGTCCCTGTTCGTTGTGTTTTTTACTTACTAAATGATGTAATGAACCATCAAACAGTTATTGAATTGTTGTTTCTTGAATGTTGAATTGATGTATGATTGTAGTTTTAAGTATGTTGATTGATTTAGTGAATGTTAAGTAGACCTCGTTTGGTGGAGCGTATACAATATAGCAAGGAACAGTTTTTATCTCTCTTTTCAAAATAAACTAAGAGCCGGTGAAATCATTATTTTTAGCTTCAGCTGCTCCGTGTACTATAGCAAGGAGCCAAAAGCCATGCGAAACACGACCTAATGGACATGTATTTGAGTATTTTTATTCATGAAATTTCGTTAGTTATATTTCATACATAACTAATAAATAATTTTCATGTTTTATAAAAAAATGCTAAATGAAATAGTTTTCACTATAACCCGCTATAGTTTTTTTATAGCTCCTGGAGAAAGGACGTTGCTAGATGTTTATCCCAGTATTTAAAACCTTGTAAAGCAGCCTTCAAATTCAGAGAAGTCTAAAAAACTCCAGAACCATACATCCCCCTCGAAATGGAGAAAAAAAAGGAAAATCACAATACAAAGGAGTGAATGCCTGGATTACTTGATATATTTGATACAAATACAACCACAAATTATTCTGTATATACAGCCCAGGATGTTAGAAAACTGGACACGAATTCAGGCAAAATGATGGTACAACAAGCCTTAGATGGCAAACAATGAAATGCAATACCATCCAGCTGCCGGTTCAGAAATGAAGTTTGATTGGCGAACGGTTCGCACTTCACACTGCTAATTTTTTGTTTGGGCGTCCATGTAGGCATGTACAACCACGTTATATCCTACAGTTTGCCGCTGTAGGATGATGCATAAAGACACAAAATATCATTTTCTATGTGCACAAGAAATATTTTCGTATGAAAACTGAATAGAGCAGCTGTGACAGAGACACGGGAAATAGGAACTCACTGCAGTACACGAATTGGTTAAAATCCAAAGTCACTCTTCCTTGCTTGCTTGTATCAAACGAATTGAACAGGTTACTACATAAATGAAGTAGTAGATTAGTTAACCACAAAACTTTACCACAGAACACATGGAAAATACTGCTTTAAGAATATAGATCATGGACAGAATCCAAGAAAATACTCCTCATCACATAGAGATTAATATAAATCATGAAATGCTAACAACTTACAAGTAAAAAATTTATAAAAAGTTAAGACTACAGATATAAACTGCACAGGTAGAACGATACTTATCCACAAACAATATAACTAGAAAGCACAAGGATTCTAGGTGTCAGGGAGAACATACAGAGCTGACTGCACAAAAATGCAGAGTGATATAAACTCATCCAATTGAATCATCCCCTTCTTGCTCTTGTCGAAGCTCTGAGAACACCCAAGTATGGTATTGAATAAATAATGGTGCTCGAAAGCAGTCATACAGAACATTCCTAAACTGCTGTATTTCCGTTATGTCTCGATTCCAAAAAAAAAAAAGCAGTCATGCAGGAATGAAATCTTCGAAGGAGAAAAAAATTGCCTCACTACAATGTTTAAGCTGTGTGCAAGGAAATTAATGTGATAGTGCAATACACAAAGAAAGAAAAACGTGCTAGAGTACTAGTATTCTTCTTCTGGAAGAAAGTGAATAAGGTGGTAAACTACCCAGATTGACATACACCCTTGGCTCAGTCAGCTAAATCGTATTACCTATTTTAACCTCCCATAGAATGTTAATGGAACAACAACTCAACTAGGAGGTTGCAACCAAAGCAACACTGGTTTAACCCAAATGCTCCAGATTGCAAGAAAAGACAGCTTAGGACAAATAACTTCTTTGTGTTAAGATTTCAGTTTAAACAGGCTTAGGATGAATTCTCTTAAGCAAGACAGGATTAATCATGGGCCAAATTTACAGTAGAACTGTAGAAGGCAGATGAATCCTTTTCGTTACCTCACAAACTGTGTAGAAGGCTGGTGAATCCAACGAGAAACCAAGTTTGATTAATGCCTGTAATAAACATGGAGGTGAGAAAAGGGGTGTAGCAACCACAAGGAACTAAGGCTCCATTTGGATCAGCTTCAGCTAAACTTTTTATAAGCTGCAGTAGCTAGAGAGAGTTAGCTAATAGCTTTTTATAAGCTGGGTGGTTGAATAGTTCAAAATGAGCTATAAGCTAGACTATAAGCAGGCTGTTTGGATCAGCTAGAGCTTTTTTTAGTAGCTTGCAACTTATTTTAGCTGATACAAAAAGGACCTGAAACAGCTGAAGACACACAGGCCACCTAACTGGAGAAACTAACATATTACCTCATACACCTCCTCAAGACTTAGAAATCCACGACCCCTGAAGTTAACAAGAAAACCAAGAATATTAATAAGATAAATTTGTGCACGGACACAGCATATTTAAAAACATATAAATGAAACCTATGGTGTCAGTCCTTAAGAAGCTCCTGGCTACAATCTATCACATACAGAAACAACATTTGTGGGTCCTTAAGAAGATCAGTAAGAGGACACTCATGAAAATGCAGATCATGACCAGGAAACTACAGGAAGCACTGGAACAATTTCTGTTCTTGATGCTAGAGATGACAGCAATTTTTTTAGGAAACAGGAGGGGTTGCCCTGCTGTATGTTATATATTATAAAAAATGAATTAAAAGGGGGGCACAAAGAAAAGCCAGTTCAGGAAACAAAGAGAATAAGGGAAATACAGCACCTTTCCAGGGTGGAGAATACACTTTGCACCTGCAAATTGGAAACAATAGGGAAATAGCAGCGATCACAATGAGTCGCACACAAGAAACTTGCAGTTAGGGATGCCGCACAACAAATCTATTTCTATTACTCTCAAATATACTCCTGCCTTTCATTGTAAACCATAACTTTGGTGCATTATCATAACAGAATTTTCTTTGTATAACTTAAGCGTAAATAACATTCTCATGGACCATTAGGCACTCATAGGATATGAGACATATCGTGCACTGTTAGCATTACCTTGGATCATTCAATAATGTTGCAAAAGACCTTTTGTGTATTCGAGAAGAAAAAAAATAATGTTGCAAAAATGCTTGTCTGAGTGAATAAATCCTAATTCCTAAATCCGCAACACATCCAGAGTAGAGAAGCCACACACTTTCTGAAGGAATTTGTTAAGAGCCAGAAACTCTGCGAAGGAAAAAAGTCACAATGTTAAGACTAGAGCTCATCAGCTCTCTTCATTTACTTAGGAAAAATGGTGCGCTAACCTTCAAAGCTCATGGTGCCATTCCGATCGAAGTCATACATCCTGCACAAAAAGCCGTCCCAACTCCACTAAGTCAAGAACCAAACCAGAAAAAACAGAGGCAACAAAGCAGAAGCCAGGGCGGGGGAACTGGGGAAGAGGACCTAATCATCTGCTGCACGACGGAGATGGGGAAGTTGAGGTTGCCAACAGCGAGCGCGCCCTGGTGGGAAGCCAGCCGGTTGGAGCGCGTAAGCGGTCAGCACCTCTAGCTGTAGAACGAATCGGGCGAAGAGGGAAGCGAACCTGGAGTTGGGCAGCGGTGATGTTGCCGGTGCGGCCGGCGTCGACGCGGTCGAACCACTCCCGGAGAACCACCGCGTTCTCCATCTCTTGCCTCCGGCGTGGGGAACCCGCGACCGCGAGGACGACGACGACCGGGGCTATGCGCCTATGCTAAAGCTGGGCGACGGGGATATTGCGCGTGGGCGCTAGTAGAGGAAGCAGAGGGCGGGCTGAGACTATCTCAGCCAACAACACCCCCAAGACCCACCCCCAAGACCCATTTAACATTTACATAGCGCTACACTCAAAAGATTCGCGGCTGTGACTAAATTGTTGTGAGAGAAAAATAATATTCTGACTAAAAAAAGAAGCCAAACAAACCAACTTCTGGGTAAGCCGAACAGGGCCTCGATACCTATTCGACATCTTCTTCAACAACAGAACCTAAAAAAGAATACTTTCTGTAAATGGGTTTTCAGGAGAGAGGATACTCATATTTGGATTATGGCTCTCAGGTAATCTAAAATGAGTCTCTCGTATAGGTACTATGTTGGAGACTGATTTTAGACCTCTACTATTCATTTTGGATTTAGATGTCATAGATCATCTGTTGGAGATAGTTTGAAGAGTAGAAATGAAGCGACGCCTAGCCCCGCCCCACCCCTCCAGGGTAAAACTGTACTGTACAAAACTTTCTGCTTGGATCTTCGATCACATGGTCAATCAGAACCACAAAGGCTGACGGCACACCGAAATCTTGGTCACTTGCATCTTTAGTATAATTAAAAATAAACAGAACCATGTTTGTGCCACTCTGTCAATTGTGGTTTGGATATTTGCCGTACGAGTGGCATGAGTCTAAAATATTGCAAAAGCAATGGTAACTAAAGAAAAGGAGAATCGAAATGGTGACACAGGCCTAATTTTTCCCAAGTAGTAAAGAGATTGGTACACGCACACCCTATGTTCAACAAAGGTATTCATGGAAGTTTAGCTACAACTGCACAAGTGAGTTCCTCAATAAAAATTCTGAAATACGTCTACAGCTGTCGTTGTCGTCATCTTGCAACACAAGAAAAATCTGAACAAGTCGATTGCTTTGCAGCACTGACTAAAACCAGAAAAGTCTGCCTAGTTTGTTTCGAGTGACAACCTCTGCTTCACTATGATTAAAACAATGAGGACAGTGGAGGTAGGCTTCTTCCATCAGCAAGATCAGCAGCTGGCTCTACCGTTGCAGCAGCGTCCTCGTCCTCAGTAGATTCACATGGTAGCTTGTCATACATGGTGTCCATGATCACTTTACCGAGAACAAATCGGACCTCGGCAGGATCCCCATCTTTCAGTGACCAGTAATCAATCCCACGCATCCCTCTTCTCTCGTCATATGAAGGTAGGTCAGAAGCAAGGCCCTCAAATATGACTGATAACCTTTTCCTATCATTGTTAGATGTGAGTACCTGGAAACAAAACACCAGTACCTATATGATCTACCGTACAAAATCACAATTAACAGAGAAGATGTGGTGAAATTCAATAAGCACAGATCATGGGGGTGGCATATACAACGAAATACTTACTACTCCTGAAAATTGCGGAGGTTCGGAGAATCTGGCTAGCGATTGCTCCAGACCATGTACACATGTCAATGTATCCACTGAAGAATTGACTAGTGATGCAAGATGTGATGTTTGTTCCATAAGATCATCCAGTTTAGTCCGAGAAGGCCCCATTGTCTCTGGGGCAAATGTAACTTCAGGTCCAACTTCTTCTTCCAGAAATTTGACTGTGGTTTCCCATGTTCCGAAATACAACACTGCAGCAAAAGCTCTTATTACCAGCGTGTCTTGTGGAGATATAACCAATGTACTGTGAAATACCAACAACGCCAGCCTGCAGAAAAATACGAAATGTCATGGGTGTGGCAGACAAAAACGCTCATACTGATTGCGATGTTACTTGGTTACCACATAAACTGAATGAATGAAACAGTTAGCCTGTTTGATCAAATAAGAGGATTGATAGGCACAAAAGAGGAACACTCAGACTGAAAGTGGTATGGAATAGGACTATAGGAGCATGTCAGTTTAGATATGAATAAACTGTGTGCCCAGTCCACCATGGGAAAATCATAAGGTACTTTAGAGTACACAAGCATTCTCCACAAAAATACAAGGTAAAGTCTGATACAGCTGCAAAGCCATGCATATGTTTTAAAGGTAGTCTAGAAATGAAGGAGATATTTGTTGCATGAGCATGAACTGATGATAAAAATCAGAACAACCACTGGACTACATAAATAAACACATCCAAATCTACTGGAACAGTCCCTAAAGAATAACATAAATCAGTGTCACTAGTTGTCAAGAGAAAGATTACAACTCTGTCATTTCATTGCTTTTTGGTAATGAAATTCGGTTTTACTGTGGTGGAAAAAATATCAAGAGCAAGATTACAGAAATAAAGGAACCAATATATGAGCCAGTTCAATGGAACCCAATAAGCTAAATTGCCGGTTTAGCAAGTTAGCATACACAGTGCTCATGATTTCCTGGGGAATACGCATTTAATAACTATAAGTACAGCAATAAAAATGTTATGCGCCAAGTAGGTATTTAAGGTTTCTTACCACAAAGAGCTATGGCATGGCCGGTCTGCAGAGAGTAACCTATCAAGATTAGCCAGTAGTTTCTGCAGATGTGAAGTCAACAGCATAAGATTACATAATAAGCCTTAAGTTTATTGTCACATTAAACTAACCTGAAAGATAACCATAGAACCTCTACTTATACATGGCATTATGGCAATAAAAATTCTAAAAGGGTATCAATAGGAAGTAAACTCTGAAGCAACATAGGGCCTGCTTAGTTCCCAGGCGAGCTGGCCTCGCCGCACTGGCTCAGGCAAGGCAAACCTTGCCAAACCAGGCAAGCCGTTTTGGTTCACTCACGGTGGCAAGGAAAATGACTCACAAAGCTAGCCAACACAGGCTCCAAGGTGATCGAGCAAGTCAACCAAACGCATCGCCAGCTCTAGATCCTTGCTCTGCAAGGAAAGGCTAACCTTGCTGGAGAAACCAAGCACGCCCATAAATATCATATTGTTCATAAACCGTACAGAAACTATAGACCATAATAAAATTTTATAATCACGAAAATCTTCAAACAGTAGGTCAAGAAAAAGATAACAAACCCTTTAGTTCAGAGTGAAAGATTAGGACACCCTATGCTTACCCAAAAATAAGGAAAACTTTACCCACTGTACACCACAAAAAGAATGCAGTATTTCCGTAACTTCTTTTTAAAGAAGTACCAAACAAAAAATGATCTCTAAAGCAAGGTGAAACATTTTCAGAGTTACTCACCATGAGCATCAGATGTCTGTCACTTGAACCACCCTTCATCTGATCAGACAAATATGCTGCCTGAAACACAAATTGGCATTCAATGTTGATGAGTGGGCTGAAATGTTGGCAGGGCTACAACAAGGAATGTACTTTTTTATCAACAGGCATTGTTAAAATTACCTGGAAAGGCAGTAAAATATCAAGTAGTCCATATTTTCTAAGCAACCTAACAGAAGGCGCTGCTGCCCCATAAGACATTATATAATTCATTTCCATCATCAACCTTGCCTACACAGTAAATGAGGCAAGAAGAAAACCATATGAGAACGTGCATACAATTGTTAGTTTATTTTCAGAGGTACCAAGAAAGTAAACCTTGTCGATATTAATTATAGACGAAGAAAGATCATGTATCGCATTAGAAGTTTCACTGGAAAACTGGAAACCAAGGCGAGCAGCAATTCTGAAGCCACGTAAAATCCTTGCTGAAATATACTGATATAAATTTAACTTGGCGAGATAAAGCAATTTCAATAAAACCATTCCTCAAGCACCTACCGGGGTCCTCCATGAAAGAAATATGAGCAGGAATCACTGTACACACCTGATTTCCATTAAGAAGTTAGCAAATAGAAAAGAAAGAGGAAGAGAAAACCAGGACACTGATGAACCTATGCTTAAATAAAGATGGAGCTCAGTGAGTGTTACTTTGTTTTTTCTCATATCCCTTACTCCATTCACGTAATCATAAATTTTGAAGTTCATCGGGTTAAAGAAAAGACTGCCAAACAAGTATTACAACATTGTTATGAAATATCTCCTGTGATACATAAAAAAACAAGACCATTTGTTGATGATTTGAAGCACTAGAGTTACTGTGGAGTTTCAAAGATTACCCATTTATTGTGAAGTCTCTTCTCATAGAATCCTTCCAGCGAAGAATATCCCTAACATCAGAGCCATTCAACTCTTCCACATAATCTACCGCTTCACTTCTATTCCCATACTTAGCAACTGTTCGAAAGCTCGAAATCTGTTAGAACAAATAAAAAACAGTGAGTGCATTGCTAGAAAACTCATGTGGCCATGATGATGATATGAAGAACAAACCTCAATTACAGAGTCACGCATTTTAAGAAGACATATTGGAAAGCGTTTGCCTACAATCATAGATCGCCTGAATATATTTTTCTTAAGCTGTAACGGACAAAAATATGTCAATGGAATAAGGACATCAAAACTTTCAGGAAAAGAAAAAATAATCATGATGTTTGAATGGACCAAAACCTGTTCGAGACTTGCAGTGGTAATCACGTCAAAATCTTTAGGTACCCTTTTGAGTAGCAAATCTCTCACACACCCCCCAACAAGGTAAGCTTGAAAACCTGTAATAAACTTTTGCCTTGAATACTGCATACATTCTTATTCACAATCAACTAGCAAAAACAATATTTTATGAGTTAAATAAGAAAAGTAACGCCCTCACAAGAAAAAACTCGAGTAGCCAGAAGAACTCAACCTTGCTGGCCAAGAAAAATCCCGGGACCCTGGCTTTGTCGGCTCACAATATTTTAGGACTTGGAGCTGCTACTAAAGCACTGTAACCACTACACTACAGGCTCAGAGTCCAGAAAAAACAAGAAGGCCGAGACAGAGTTTCAAAAACATCTTACGGAAATTTTGAAACACTTGCTGCCTTCATCTCAACCATAGATTTCAAATCAATGGATATACATGAATGGATGGTAATGACGACTGAATTGTGATGAAACAATATGTAATATCATGCATTGTAGGGACATGTAATACAGGGTTGCCTCCTTTTATTTTCCCTTGTGATGTTGGAGTTGTTCTTATGTACTTAAAAAACAGAAAACAGAACTAAATAAAAACTAGCATGTTGCCAGATTTCACCAATTCATAATCTATGCAATATAGTACACCCTCTGTACACTTTCATAAATTGAACTTTTTTGGCTGCAAGTTTCCTTGAAATACTCCCTCTGGTTCCAGTCCATCAGGACTTGTGCATGGGAATTTAAGGTAGATTGTAGAAACTCTGGTACCCATCAATGATTAGCATAATTGCGGTAGCTAGTACTCCCTCCACCCAAAATAAGTGCCGTTCTCACTTCTCGAGTAGTCAAACACTTTTAAATTTGACCAAATATATGCAAGAAAATATTCATATTTATAGTACATAATTATTATCATTAGATAGATCGTTGAATTTATTTTCATAATAAACTTATTTGGAGATACAAATGTTGTTAATATTTTCTACAAATATAGTCAAACTTAAGAAAGTTTGACCGGCATGAATACCATAGCAAAACTTATTTTGGGACGGAGGGAGAACTTGGCATGCGTGAAACATCTATATGGTTGTACTTAAATAAGTGCAAAATAGGGAAGTGAATGATAAATTGTGTCTTGAAGTTGTAGATGGATTTATATTTGTTGAATTGGAAGTATTGCTGGATGGACCTATATTATGAGCTAAAGAATGTATTTTGTTTAGGGCCTTGTGTGCAACAGCTCCAGCTACAAGATCTATGCAGGATTTGGAGTTTGTAAAAAAATAAAGTTATTTAAATATATGCTTGGTCCAAATAATAATAAATTGCTAAACAAAATACCTTCAATGTGCCCACAGCTCGAGCACCAAGATTTTCTGGAGCTAGAGCTGTGCAAACAGGCCCTAAACTCATATATGATAAGCCTAGATGTTGTCAAAAGTTACCAAGATTGAATTCTGAAAGGTGCGTGCACCTTACATTCATGGATCAAAGGAGTGTTAAGAAGAAAATGTATGGTCAAGAGAATAGTTATGACATGTTAAGCAGGCCCTAAACTCATATATAATAAGCCTAGATGTTGGTCAAAAGTTACCAAGATTGAATTCTAAAAGGTGTGCACCTTACATTCATGGATCAAAGGAGTATCAAGAAGAAAATGCATGGTCAAGAGAATATTTATGATATGTTGAAACTATTAACTCACAAATGGAAATGGTCAATAGAATAGTTGTGTACCTTCTCGTCTGAGCTTTTTTAAAACTGCCCATGCATCCGTATGTATAGCATCTGGTTTAATGCCAACAGCCCTTGAGTCAAAATGCCTCCATGATGAAGGATCCACGAATCCTGCACAAATTGAAACCTTTCAGCTTCACCAAACAAGTCGGCATAGCAACATTGTAGAACTATCTTTCGATCACAAAACTTTACATGCACCCTTTACTTAAAAAGAGCGATTGTTACTGAACAGAGCCATACACACCGGTAGGCGAACACCCATCGAAATTGAATGTTACCAATAGCACTATATCCACGACATAGGACGCAAACGCAAGTGACAGATATGATTTACACAGGGGGGCAGAAGAATATGCCCCCTGTAGCCAGAGAAACGCAAGTGACAGATATGATTTACACAGGGGAGCAGAAGAATATACCCCTGTAGCTAGTGCAGTGCCAATGAAGAAGTATCACCTGGCCTGAGGTGCCTTGGCGCGGAGGAGCCACCACCTTTCGGCTTCGGAGGACCGGTTCCGTCGCCTCCCTTCTTCGTGCTGTACTGCCGCGCCTGAGAGAAACACGACGGCGTCAGCGGAAAGAAGAGGAACGCTTCGATCAAGCGCCAGGCCGGCGTGGTGCTCGACGAAATGCTTGAGAGACGGTGCGTGGCAGAGAGGTGGCACGGCGACTGACCAGGAAACTGGAGGCAGCCGAGCGGAGGCGGGAGAGGAGGGGAGGCGGAGAAGAGGGCGAGGGCGACGGGTCAGCGCGCTGACGCGGCGGCGACATGACATGGGTGCGGCGCGGGGCGGGCGGCGGGGCGGCGCGGAACCAGGTCGCCTGACGCCTGGCGACTCGACTCGACTGTTGTCGGCGGTCACTCGATCTGCGGCCGGCCCTCAGCGTCCAAGCGCCCAGCTCGTTTGGCACGCATCAGGTGATAAAAATACCAGCCCAGCGGCCCAACTAAGCCCACGAGGCCAGTAGCCCAGTACACCTCGCAAGAGCACGCGCCGCCGATGTCTTCCCCGACGAGGTGGGCCGCACCGCCGTCGCCGTCGCCGTCGCTGCCGCGGCCGGTTCCTGATCTCTCGAGCTATGCGAGCGAGGACTACACGGCAAGGTCACCAAGGGGCGTCGCAAGGTGCTGCAACAACTGCTCCCTGCGCCGCCGCCCGACCGACACTGCTCCAGCCGACGCGACGCCGCCTCGAGGGCAATATGGTGTTTTTGGTTTATGCCCCGTTGGGTTTCTTAAGAAAAATATTATTCATCTTCAAATGTTGTGAGAGACAAATGGTATATAAATCAATGTATGTCAACGTACTATACATGCATGAAATTTAAATTAATAAAAAGAGGACAAATGATAAAATCAATGTGTCAACATTTACATGGAAATTTTATGAAGCTTTGATAAAAAATGGCAAATAGCTAATTTTCTCTAACTCAGCGTGTGATGATTGAATATCTGTCAATTTGAGGGTTTGATTATTGTATATGAATTCCAAGACATCTAGGTTCCTGTAATTATTATGTCGATTTGTAAACTCTGAATGGTAAAAGAGATGCTTCAGCATAACAAAAGAGTGTCAAGCTTTGTGTATGTGAGAATGGGATGCAAAAAGATGCATTGATAAACTCTTATTTGTAAATTATATATTCTGAATGGTAACAGAATGCATTGATAAATCATCACATGATTTTTTCATGTGGCAAGAAGCATTCATACAGACTTGCAAAAGAAATGAATCATCACATGATCTTTTTTTTTTTACAAAAATCATCACATGATCTTTCTTGTCTGTCTACGGTAGTGAAATCCATGCCAATTTGAGGTAACAAACTAGTTAGCAAACCCTCCCTAGCTACAGGTTTAAAAAAATGATTTGGTGCTAAACTCTAGAACTAAAAATAGAGCCTCTGTCCTGTGAAGTAATTAATCTGATCATGAAGAAAATAAACAGTCATGGTATTACGCACCGATTTTATTCCATCTTAATATACATATTTTGCTTTTATGCGAACAAAAAGCCTGAATTTTTTATTTTTTAACCTTTTTCGAAGAATATTCATATTTATACCACAATGTCGTCTTCTATCTTATACCATATGATCTTTCTTGTTCTCGCCACCGATGACACGCAGTAGCACAGTGTCGTCTGGTCAGGATGAAGCACGACCACTATTGATGCATCCGTCGTTTGTCGTAGGTTTGTCCGACGACAATGCGGCCCTGAAATTTCTTGGGAGTTGATGATTGTCGTCAAAACGTGGCAGCTCGATCTTATCACAAGTGTAAGGATCGTAGAGAAAGGCTCGGCTATTATCTTCTTGTTCTGAACCTATAGACAATTGCCCTGTTCGCTTGGCTGATAAGTCATGGCTGAAAGTACTGTTGGCTGATTTGTTGTGAGAAAAAAATAATGTTTGTTGGTTGAAAAAGTACGGCTTATAAACCAAGCGAACATGACGAATATACACCTTACAGTGGCTGCAAATCTCATGCTACCCCTTAGCGCCTCAAAGTTGTGTGTGAGGCACTAATGGTGTGTCCATCTTCAGTAATCCCATTGGGATCGGTGGCGACGAGGAACGGCACCATGGGCAGTACATGTTTCGACCCCTCCTTACAGCTTGATGACATTATTTGCACCCTTGACAGATGAAAGTTTATATATATAGTTTTATATGAAGTTGTATATATATATTTTGGAAAAACAAGAGACCTCTCTCGGGTTCTTAAATAGACAGGATAAATAAAGGAATATAATCTTCCTGGTCGACTTGGATTTGGAGTATTACAGCAGTACACTACCTGTGTTCCGTATCCGACAAGTCACAAACGCAGTCCACGCTTCACGAAGACGGACACAACACGACCGACCGGACCGGACCGGTAGCTAGCGGCAAGAAGTCTAGAATATTCTACTGGCTCTTGCAGGCTCACAGTCCTGAGTCCAGACATGGCGGCCCCACCTGAACCCAGGCCGCTGTGACCCCACGGCACGCAAGGAATCACGGCCATCCATCCCTGTCGCACAGTCATGTCCGCCGTTAAATCGCGTCTTCCCCACCAAAGTCATCATTATTCCTCCAGTCCCGTCTGGCCGTCTGGGTGTGTGTTGTTAGACACACTGGGATCACCGGTTTAGATGAGTCGACTATTCATCAGTCTTATCGATCATGGTCGAGCATAATAAAGGTTGTTCGACCATATTTACTATAGCTAGAGTTAGAAGAGGAGAAAGAACAGAGCATACACACAGCCAGAGACACTAGTATTGACCAGAGTCTTATATAGGAGATGACAAATCTGAACTCTCTTTACTGAGTTGCAGTGACAAACTATTTATACAACTCTATCCATCTAGTCTAGTACAGGCTATTATCTTTGCTACGATTATTAGATAACACAAATGAGGCTGACTCACGCCTTTGCCCTACATGTAGCTACAAATCCGAGCCGATGAGCCATTCGGCACTGCCTCTCTGGTGACTCTGATACCACAATGAGGGGAGCTTTTTCGACGTCGCATTCCCTTGCTGTGTGTTCACACAAGGAAGCAGTAGATTATCTAACAATTCTTTCATTAATCCTACTGTTATCCCTTTTACCCCTTCTATGCCGATCACCTCCTTCAGCTCCGTGAGTCGAAAACGTCCGAGCGGTTTGGTCAGGACGCCCGCGAGTTACAGACCAGTTTCGACGAACTCGATGATGATCTGCCCTCCATCGACATAGTCCCTGAGGAAGTGGAACTTCACGTCGATGTGTTTGCTCTGGTCGTGCAGAACCGGATTCTTCACGAGGACGATGGGGGGCTGGTTGTCCACCATCAGTGCTGGTGGGTGAGCTTCCGCACCGGTTAGCTCGCCTAGCAGCCGACGTAGTCACACAACTTAGCACGCCGCTGTGGCCGCCGCTACGTACTCTGCCTCGTATGTAGACAACGCCACCACCTTCTGTTTTAGCGACAACCATAAAATTAGAGCCAACCCGAGGAAGACAAGCACACTAGAGGTGCTCCGTCGTCCGTCGATGTCCCCACCATGTCTATATCGCTGAACACAGTGAGCTACAGCCTACTCCCATTGGTCTTGGTGAAGATGATTCTCTGATCCACCATCCCTTGATATAGCGTAGTAGCCGCTTCACCGCAACCCAATGATCCTCTCTGGGATTCTTCATAAAGCGACTGACGTAGCCCACGGCGAACGCAATGTCCAGCCTTGTGTGAACTAGGTAGCGCAGACCGTCGATGATACTCTGGTAGAGTGTTGCATCCACCTTCACCGCGGTGCTGACCTTCGTCAGTTTCAGCCGCTCCTCCATCGGAGTCACGCATGGCTTGCACTCATCCATGCCGCTCCGCTCCAACAGCTTCGAGGCCTACGCGCTCTGACCGAGCGTGAGTTCCTCTTTCCTCTGTCTCACCTCAATGCCGAGATAGTAGGAGAGTGCGCCGAGATCGCTCATTTGAAAATAAGCCACCATCTCGCAAAGCTTGTCCTCCGCCGCTATCGATGTCCTCCGCCGCACGCGCGTGTCGGTGCGCGAATGATCGATCTCAAGTCGCCTCGTGGCGCTCACATCGACGACGACGCTCGTGCGGCCTCCTTCCCGGACCCACCCCGTCGCTCGCGTCCCTTGACGAAATTCGAAGGTTGCTATGAAGACCTTCTCCACAAGCTCTCTGTTGAGGAAGGCCGATTTAACATCCGGTGATGGATGCGCCAATCGGGAACTCAAGCTTTTGGTATTCTCCGGTGATTGATTTAGTATTTATCTTGTGATTGGTTCACTCCTCTACGATGGTATAATCACCCCACTCACTCGTTTATATTCTTACAAACTAGTTGTAGCAAGCTTTTTAGTGTAACTAGAATTGAGAGCTTACTTTGTAGTTTAAGTTTATCTAGTGGAGCTCTTTAGTGTAACAAGCCATCCCAAGTGGGCCCAATCCGAGAAATAATGGGCGGTGTGCCTTTGTGGCAGGTCTCTCGCACCGAGCACCACCGAAGTGGCGGTGAAAAAAATCGCTACTGTTTCCCGGGGTTATTGTAGCACCGCCAAACAACAGGCAACCGTAGTTTAGTCCCATCCGAAATTATTTGGATCGACTTAAATACCGGGGCGAGGGACGCGTAGTAACCTTGCTTGCCGAAAGTTCAAGCGAACCACCCTAGGAAGAAGTGGACTTCTATGCTGTCGGGCTCGACGTTACATTTGAGAGCCGACTCCGAGGAGGTCGATTTAACATCCGGTGATGGTGTGCATGTGCGTCGATCCGGGAGAAAAATTGGTTGTCTCTTGTCCTTTGGTATTCTCCTGGTGATTGATTTAGTATTCATCTTGTGATTGGGTCACTCCTCTACACAACGGTATAATCACCCCACTCACTCATTTATATTCTTGTAAACTAGTTGTAGCAAGCTCTTTAGTGTAACTAGAATTGAGAGTTTGCTTTGTAGTTTAAGTTCATCTAGTGGAGCTCTTTAGTGTAACAAGTGTGAGAGCTCTTATTGAGTAGTGACATAGAAAATTGTGTGTTTTGTGATCATAGCAACTAGAATTGTTGGATAGGTGGCTTGCAACCCTTATAGAGTTAGAGCAAGTTTGCATTTCGCTATTTATTATACTAATCAAATTGCTCTAGTTGATTTGTAGAATTTTAAATAGGCTATCCCCCCCCCGCTAGCCATATTAGGACCTTTCAAGTGATATCAGAGTCGTGGTCACCGTTTGATTAAAAGCTTAACCACCTCGGTGTCAAATTATGGCTCAA